TAAGTTCCAAGAAAGCTCAAAATCGGAGCAATAATGAAAAATAAATAAATTTGTAAAGCGCCACCAAAAGAATGTGACATAGCAATAATGAAAAGAATGTGACATAGCAAGTATATTAATACAATGTACCATGGGGGTAAGAACTAAACATGGCAAAAAATCTGTCTACGTTCCATTTACTGGAGTACAACAACGGAAATTAGCCAACAAGATGATACATACAACAACAAAACTCAATCATTCCACACTTGCTCGGGCTTAGTTCCCAGCAACACTTTCTGCTCCAGCTGGTCCATTGCTCATCCAGTACTTGTATGCGTAGAGTGAGGACACCACTAGGGCACCGACGACGATAAAGGCAAACATTGTTGGGCCGATTTTAGTAGGGCTCTTCTTCTGCTTGCTCTGTGCCAGCAGTGCTCTCGGCTTGATCTTCGCCATGGCTCACTTCTGGCAATGCCAAGAAAAAGACTGGTATCAGCATAAGGAAGTTTTTTCTGAACCATTATAATCCACAAGAATACCATTAACTGATCAACTGCATTAGGACATGTATAATGCAAGGGGCCTAGAGAGGTGCTTGTAAAAATGAACATGTTGTTTTCTTAAGCACCGGTGCTTGGCACCTCTGTTAAAAAAACAAGCAACGGTTTAAGCGACAATCTGTTTATTTTTACGAAGTACTTCTCTAAGCACCTTGAACTAGTACATGGTTTTATATGCTTATGAACAGCCTGATTTGTAGGATCACAGTAATAACTGCACTCATCGGGACGTGGAAATAAACACCTAATACAGCGATATTGCATCTTCCATGTGTCAAAATAATGCACTACCAAACTTCAGAGATAATTGAAGAAGCGAAAATCATAATTCATGCTAGTAGATAGATACACTGTTTAAATGATTCATCATGTTAACTCATGAATCCAGTCCAAAGGTTATTATGTGGGGACCTCATAAAAGAGGCATGCCCAGTGAGTGACATAAGATACATGGAACGATGACCTGCAGTACTGTAGGAAATGATGTTCTAAGATCGACTGACATAAGATACATGGGACGACGAACTACAGTACTGCAGGAAATGATGTTCTAAGATCGACCCATCGCAGGTGCAATCTGCGGCTTGAAATTATAATTTCAAGCCGCAGATTGCACCTGCGATGAGTAATGCAAATCAAGGGCCATGTAAGTTCATTACAACATGACCAAATGGAGGCTATGGCTGTTGCACTCGAGGGACACAGATCGTAAAACTCTGGCGCAGATGGAGGGGTGCATCTATCCTTGTTCCCAGCTTCGTTGTCTGAAGAACTAGGCTATGTATAGCAACAGTAGTACAACACTGAGGGATCCACACAAGCGAAGCCACTGCGCCCTGAACGGAAAAGCGGGGATCTACCAAGGACAGATCAAGGGGGGCGTGATCTCGAAACAACCCGCTCAAGATCCACGGTTCCTCCGGCCACACCCACAACCGAAATCAATCACTTGGCGGCTACTGACAGAAGGAATTAATCAGCGGTCGGGGTAACGCGCGGCGAGAAGGGAATTGTGGGATACAGTACCTCGATCTGCAGCTTCACAATTCTACTCGGGGGATCCCTCGCTCTAGGAAATGGAGGTGGCGTGGAGCGATCCCGAGAGAGAGAGAGAGAGGGATCCAGGCGAAGATGACGAGGATGCAAGGCTGTGCGCCTGTGGTGCACTCGTCGTCTTTTGAAGGGGAAAAGGAAGCATCTTGGAAGGGGAGGCGCGGGAGCCAGGGGCACTTCGGGCACATTGATCCAAGAAACTGCCCAAGGAGAACGAACATGCGCTGTGCCAGTCCACGCTGCGAAACAGAATCGATCAGCGACAAAAACGGGAGGTCCTTTTTTTTTGAGAAAACAAAACAAAAACAAAAACGGGAGGTCCTAATCGGCGCTGGCGCTCACGCGCACGCACTATGGGCCAGCTCATCTAACCTCAGCCCGCACACCCCCGCGGCGCACTGGGCCGGCCCATTTCCGTGTTTTTATTTGGACCCCGATAACGCGCGACCGTTCGGTCTGGGAGGACCCAAGACCGAACGTCACGTTCGGGACGGGAGGGTAATGAGGAAAGTATCGTTTTCCCCCTGAAATCCTTTCTGATGGATCAATTCCCCCCTCAACTCTAATACCGGATCAATCAGCCCCTCAAATCTCTAAAACCGGACCAATTCCCCCCTAAAGTGGTTTTGAACTTGATTTTGAGTGGTTTTGACCCAAACCGCGTACCCGCTCTGCTCTCCTTTGTTTCGTCTCGCTTCAGGTGGTGCCAGTCAGCATCGTCGAGTACGCGCTCCAGGGCTCCGCCTCCTCCCCGCGCGACGCCTCCACTGACTCATCCTTGTCCTCCTCCACCTCTAGCTGCTAGGCCGGGAACGAGAAGAGGATGAACTGGAGCTCCTTCGACATCGGCGAGTACCATGTGGCCGTCGCGCAGTGGTGCCGGGGCGAACGCGGCCATGCAGACCGGCGAGAGACGCCGTCGGCACCGGGGCCCAGAGCCGTCTCCGCCACAAGAGCCTACGACGGAGCTCGAAGACGACGAGATCACGTTGCCGCCATCCTCCAGCAGCCCCGACACGCTGGAGACGCTCATCGAGAACGACGCCTGCGTGGTTGCCGCCTCGAACACCGTCGCCGCTCGCCGGGAGGAAGAGAATGCGGGCCTGGCGCAGCAGAGCGTGATCACGGGCGGCCGGATGAGCGCGTCGACGGTGCTGATGCAGTTCGTCTCCTGCGCTGGCCAAGCGGGACGCCGGTCAGTGCGGTGCGAGGCACACAGAGCGGTTCCCGGACTGGGCAGTCGGACTTGAGCAGGAGCATGGCATCAGATGGCTTCTCGGGAAGCATCGGCGTCCGTGTAGGCATGGAGTGGGAGTACTTCTGCGGCAGCCTGGTCGAGACCATGAAGACGGCAAGCGGCGAGCATGCCGGCCACGGAGGCGAGCTGGGCGCACTGAAGACGCGAAGTGCACGGCCATAACCGAGAGAAGTGCACGATCTGGGTCAAAACCACTCAAAATCAAGTCCAAAACCACTTTAGGGGGGAATTGATCCGGTTTTAGAGATTTGAGGGGTTGATTGATCCGGTATTAGAGTTGAGGGGGAAATTGATCCATCAGAGAGGATTTCGGGGGGAAAACGATACTTTCCTCGGAGGGTAATCGATCGAACGAGTACGACTCGTTCGGGAGGAGAACGCCCCAGCCCGAACGCCCCCACCAACCAGGTCCGGCCTTTTTCCTGTGAAAGGAAAACGAAAAATAAAGCCCATATTAAGTTGCGATTAGTAAAAAAAAGCCTAGTTTTTATGTGATTAAAAAACAATGTTCTTTTACACGTTACAATTGCCATGGACTTTTGCCATTCTATGAAAAAAATTGCCACGTTCAAGTTTATGGTTTAAAAAAATGGCGAAAAATAGGAAAAATCATGGCATTTTGCATCTGTACAGTATGAAAAGCTGTGATCACTATGAAGTTTACAGAAAAACGCAAAAGTTGCCGTGAAGTGATATGGTGAAAAAAGTTCTCTCTAGACACATAGAAAATTTTCGGAAAACAATGGAGAAAACATCTTAAGTTGTAATGATATTCTGCATGTAATCCCCATGGCAAAAACAAATTTGAAAGAACAAACTTGGCGTGTTCTCAAACTAATTTGTAATGTCCATGACCAACATTCTCCGGATGGACATGGCAAAAAGACACGAACCATAGCAAAAAGTGCATTTAGTTGCCATGGAAAAAGACATATCTATAAACAATACAGATTTTAGTTGCCATGCCAAATTTGCCATGTTTTTAAACATCTACAAACATTGCCACGTTATGTTGAACATGTTTAGTTTCCATGGCAAGTTTGCATATTTGTGAACATGTTAATTAAAATAAGTTTGTCATGTTTTTGAACAAACTTAATTAAAAGAAGTTACCATGTTTTTGCACATATTAAAAGTTTGCCATTTTTTCAACATTTTAAAATGCCATGGCGAATTTGTCATATTTTTTGAACATCTACAAAATGTTCCATGTTTTTGAACATCGTAAGTTGCCATGGCAAAGTTTGCCATGTTTTTCAACAATTATAACTTTGCCATGGCAACTTTACATGTTTTCGAATATGTTAATTAAAGAAGTTTGCCATGGCATAAAATGGAGTAAAATTTGCCATGGAAAAATGGTTTAATTTTTGCCATGGCAAAAAAGTAGTACTTTTGCCATGGAAATAAATTTTAAAATGCCATGGTTACACAAGTATATTTAAGATGCTATATAGTAAAATGTGTTGTGTTCTATAAATTTAAATTTGCCATAATATTTGAATTAAAATTGTCATGCTCTTTATAATAAATTTGCCATGACGAGTTAAACTAAAAATTGCCATGGCAACATAACCTAAAATTTGCCATGTGAAAATAAACTTATTTTTGTCATGGCAAAAAGAGGAGTTAAATTTGCCATGGCAAAAATGGAATACTTTTGCCATGAAAATATATTAAAAAATGCCATGGCTATAAAAGTATATTTACCGTGCTACATAGTTAAATTTGCCATGTTCTGGAAATGTAAATTTGCCATCATGTTTAAACAAAAAATTTGCCATGCTCTTTCCAATAAATTTGCCATGGCGACTTGAACTGAAAATTGCCATGGCAACTTAAACTAAAATTTGCCGTGTCACTATTACAAAGATTTCTAAAAACTGTCGTGATGATGTGTGAACTATTACAAAGATTTCTAAAAAACATGCCAAGACGATGTGTGAACTCGGTACTCGTGGCAACTTAATCCAGTCACCATAGCAAAAACACTGCATATGATCTAAAGGAAAAACAGAAGCAATCACAAAAAAGGGGATAGCAGCATACCACAGGAGCAGCAGTAGCAGTTCCTGTTGGCTCGATCGTGGGGGGAAATGGAAGAGTAAGCCGCCGACCTCCCCAGATCTTGTCCGAGCCGCAACTCATCCTCTAGCATGCCGCCTACGCGAGCACCAACAGCTCCCCCGACGGAGGGCACTGGGCCATGGATGGCCATCAGCTGTTGATGCAGGAAGCCATGCCAGAACCTCCGCGTCACGCTTGTGTAAGGCGAAACGGCGGAGAGGGAGCTCTAGGACGGAAGCCGCGATGTCGCCGGCCGTCGCGAGCAGCGTCGCGCGCAGCTGCAACTTCGCCATGGTTGCCGCTTGTTGGATCGCCGCCGGAGCCGAGGAGACTCCTCTCCCACAGCGGCAAAGGGGATCACCACCGGAGCTGAAAGGGACTCTTCTCGCAATGGCAGCCGCATCGAGAGGGTGGAGCAGCCCGAGGCGGAGGCCTCTGATGGCGGCGGGGACGGTCAGCTCGCCGACGGCGGATTCCGATGGCGTTGAGGTCGGCCAGCTCGGGAAGGGAAGATGAAGGCTGCTCAGCGGCCGCCGCGGCCCACGGCCTCCACCCACGACGGCAGCTCGAGCCGGGCGGCGCGGATCCGAAGAACAACGGCTAGTGCTTCGCGTCGGCGAGCATCGCGGCGACCTGCCCGCGGTCGGCCTCCGCCTCACTCGGGTCTCCAGGTCGCCGGCCAGGAGGATTCGGCATGTGGGGAATGGAGTGGGGAGAATGGATAGGGGAGTGGGGTTCATTCATGACGACCGCTTCTCTGAACGCTCGGCACTGGATGACGTGGCAGGGGTTAGCTTTAAGATATGTGCGTTTTGATCAAGTGGCTCTCGACACGTTCGGAATGAGATATGAAAATACCGGTCATTCGGGAGTTATCGATTCCGTTTTATTTGGTGTCTAATCCGCAAAAATGTGAGCTAAGAGGATTCGAACCACCTACCTCCCTCGTGAAGGACAGAGTTTAACCACGCAACCACAGACCGAGACGTGGTTATGTTTTACTTTTTTCGTCTATTATTCGTTCTTCGTTCTTCTTTTTTCCTTTTTTTGTTTTCCATTTTTTATTTTTCGTTTTCTTTTTTTTTCTTTGTCTTGGAACGATGAATTTGTTTGCAAATACACGAACATTTTCTTCAAATCGATGACCTTTTTTTTCAAAATCCATGGACTTATTTTAAATTTTGATGAACCTTTATTCAAATTTAATGAACTATTTTTTCAATTCGATCAACTTTTTTCCAATTTCAATGAACTGTTTTCAATATCTATGAACTTTTTTCAGATTTGATGAATTTTGTTTCAATTTCGATGAACTTTTTTCACCTTTTTTGTAAACTTTTTTCCAAAACCGACGATCTTTTTTCAAATTCGTGACCTATTTTTCAAAATTGATGAAGTTTGTTCAAAATCGGTGAACCTTTTTTTGAATTTTGATGAACTTTTTTTGAATTGGTGAACTTTTTCCAAAATCGATGAACCTTTTTTGAATTTGGATGAACTTTTCTCAAAATCGATGAACCTTTTTTGAATTTTGATGAACTTTTTTAAAATTGATGAACTTTTTTCGAATTGGTGAACTTTTTTTCAAAATTGACAAACCCTTTTTGAATTTTGATGAACTTTTTTCAAATCTGTGAACTTTGTTCTCAAGATTTGTGAACTATTGTTCAAAATTCATAGACATTTATCTCAAAATCATGAACTTTTTTTCAAAATCTATTTTTTTTCAAAACAAATGAACTTTTCCTGTAATTCATGGACTTTTTCCAAAATGTTTTCAGAAAATTAAAAATCAAAGCGCTACATTAACAGTTTACGTGTGCAATAAATTACGTGACTACAAATGTACTTATAAATTTCGCCCTGAATTTCATCAGTAGCGCAAGCTAGGTCTGGTGGTTAGCTAGACTCATTCGCTGTTCTCATGGCGCGGGTTCGATCCTCGCTGAGAACCATTTTCAGGTTGCTGAGAGCGCCGGTTAGGAGCTCCCGCTCGAACGCCCCTCGTTCGCCTGGTTCGACCGTTCGCTGGTCCGGCTGGTTGACCGTTGACTTTTCTAGAAAAGTTTAAATTTTGAAAAAAAAGAAAATCAGAAATTTGAAATAAATCGTAAATTTTAAAAAAGATTATGAAATTTGAAAAAAAATTCACTGGTATTAAAAACATGTTCATCCATTTTGAAAAATGTTCACAAATTTGAAAGAAGTTCATTGAATTTGGGAAAAATTCACAAATTTTAAAAAGTTCATTAAATCTGAAAAAAATTCACTGCTTTCTAAAAAAGTTCACAAAAAATAGAAAAAAAGTTCATTGCTTTTCAAAAAAACATCGAATTTGAAAAAGGTTCATCGAAATTGAAAAAAGTCCATCAAAATTTTTAAAAAACTTTTATTTGATAAAATTTCACGAATTTAAGAAAATAAACAGGAAGCAAAAATGAAAAGAAAAAAAAGAAACACATAGCACATTTCCAACACATAGCGAATTTCCTGTATGTAGAAATATAATAAAGGAAGTGGCTATACCCAAGCGTCGTGATGGTGTAGTGGTTGGCGCAAATAACTTGCAGCGAAGAGGTCGTAGGTTTGATCCCTGACGCCCCCACTACTACAAAACAGGAAAATGTAAAAATGGGCCGACCCAGAGCTGAGGTGGAGTGTGTGCCGGTTTGCAAAATGAACTGCAACCGGCGCCTTAAGCGCCATACAGGAGATGTTGGAATATCCTATTTGACGCTTACTGCGACAAACTGTCGTTGCAACGCACAAGGAACAAGTGTGGGTTCGATCCCTGACGCCCCCACCGCCGCACCTTTTTTGAGTGTTACAAAACAGAAAAGCAAAGTGTAAAATGGGCTGGCCCAGAGCTGAGGCGGAGTGCGCGCCAGTTTGCAGAATGAACTGCAACTAGCGCCTTAAGCCATATAGGAGATGTTGGAATATCCTATTTGACGTTTAGTGCGACAAACTGTCGTTGTAACGCACAAGGAACAGGTGCAAGGGAACGGCATAGGTCGACCCACTTCGGATTACCGTGCTAGAAGATCATAGTTCTCGGAACCATCCCAAACCGGTTTTATTGGTTTTTCGGCTTTACAAATATTTTGCTGTTTCTTTTCTTCTTTTTTTCTTTTTCAAGTTTATTTTCCTTTTTCTGTTTTGTTTTCTATTCTTTTCTTTTTTTCTTCAAATTTATTTTTATTTTAGAAAAAGTTTGAATTTGGAATTTTGAAAATGTTCCTTTTCCAAATTTTGTTCACAAATTTAGGAAAAAATGTTGAAGATTTTTTAAAAAGTTAATATTTTCAAAAAAGCTTCCCTTTTTCGAAATATGTTCACAAATTCAAAATATGTCTGGGAGTTTTCCAAAAATGTTCATGGTTTCAATTTCTTTTGAATTCCAAAAAATGTTCCTGCTTTTCAATATTTGTTCACATAACCAAAAACATTTGAGAATTTCAACAAATATTCAGGTTTGAAAATTAGTTCTGGGGTTTGCAATTTTTTTCAGAATTTTGAAATTGTTCAACTTTTTTAAAAAATAATCACTTTTTAAAAAATTGTGCACGTTTACTAAGAAAAGTTTGCGTTTTCAAAAAATTGGTCACAATTGGAAAAGAATGTTTAGGATTCCAAAAATTGTTAACAATTTCAAAATATTCTTTTTTGAAAAAAGGAATTAAAAAAAAAACCGCGTTGTACAAAAAATGTTCGGGCTTTGAAACATTACTTACTTTTTTAAAAATTGTTTACATTTTCCAAGAATTGTTCGAATAAAATAGAAAAGTGTTGAGTTCTGGCACTATGGTTAGTTCTTAGAAATTAGCGTCACAAATATGTCACTTACAATCATAGCTCCTTTTCTATCGACAACACTTACTGGGAGGTCCTCTACAACGCGCTGCTTTTTCGTGATTTTTTTCTGTTGCGCTACAGTACCAACAGGAGCTTCCCATCGCACCCGCTCGCTGCATGCACCCGCAGGCATCCGCAATGGGTCGGCCTAGTCGGTGTGTATCCTATGCGAAGGAGCGCCCATTTGCCGCGAAGTGCGGCATATAGGAGCTCCTGAAGATACCTTGGGCGCTTCAGGTGTGTGAATCCCCGTTGGCACTCCCGCGGACAGTAGACGGGCCGTGACCCAATAGCTCTTTCTCGGTCTTCGTGCTCAGTCGCCCTTGTCGGCTAAAAAACGAACACCTATTTTTTAGATTTAAAAACGAACAACTATTGGTTCATGAACAAAACTGACTTTCGATTTTTATAGATAAAAAATGTTTGTGGATTTAAACCAGTTCATTAACTTGAAAAAAGATCATGAATTTGAAAAAATGCTCATAGTTTAAAAAATGTTCATGGATTTAAAGAACATGAATTTGAAGAAGTTCAAGATTTGAAATGTTCACAGATTTGAAAAAAAATGTTCACGAATTTGATTTTCTTTCAGAATTTCTAAAAAGATTCAGAATTTTGACAAATGTTCATAAAATTTAAAAAAGAGTCCAACTATCAATCAGTCCTTGTCGTGGAAAGATAGGGTTTTCCTCTATCTATACCTATTAATAAAGGACGGAAGATTTCATGGTTCTCCATAAGTCATACCTTTATAACCGTTAATTTCATGTCAATCATAAAAGATTGACGGCTGAGATTTAACTCAGATTTAAAAGTGCGAGGGCTCTCCTTGATGATCACTTTTAGTACCTGGAGAAGGGAATGCATCACCCGCGAGGTAGGAGTGGCTTGCGGGCTCCTAATGAGGGCATACAACATGGGTCTAACAGTAGTCGAGTAATAAGCTTCAGTGTGGATGTCCTTTTTGTCATTGGCATGACCATTCGTTTGAGTCAGCTCATCTCCACCTATAGACAGCGCAATTATTCCGTTACCCTTTTGGCTAAAGAGCAGAACTAAGAATTGAGCATGCGGTTGTTCTTTAACCGGGTCAGTTCGTCGGTGTTGGTACGGATGTTATGGCCTCATACTTTTTGCATTTCCCTAGACAAGAGCTATTGTTATACGATGTCGTTGGTATAGAATTGACTTTCGCATCATATCGAGCAATGGCATTGAGCCTGAGAGAGATGCTGAAGGACAACTACCATACTCTCCCACCGAACAGAGAGAAGCAGAGGCCCTCGCGGAAAGAATGAATCTAGTATCGACGGAATGGTATCTATCTTCTTAATATTCGTTTTCCGGGGGAATGAGCCAACCCACACAAGAGTGCCTACTAGCTTGTCACGAACGCAGAGGAAAAGAGGTAAGATACCCCCGCCCCCGAGCCGGGACC